CGCGGCTGCGCTAGGCGCCTCACCTTCCCCTCCCCTCTCCTCGCGCCCCTTCCTCCCCTTCGCGATGAGCGCCTCGCGTCGCGGGAGCGACCGACAACTTCAGAACGACGGCGGCGGCTGCAGCGGCGTTGCCCAGGGTGCGAGGCCGCCACCGCACATGAAGCCGGGATTTGTATTGTGCGCGGCGCGCGGGCTCATGCGTCATGAACGATCTGGAGGACATGGACACGGCCAGCGCGGCAGCGCCCGTGTGCCGTGACCCGCACACCTGGCCCCTTGTCTGGTGTGAGACTTCATTGCACACAGCGAGATTTTTGTAATTGGGGAGAATATGGCTGCGCTGCACTTCACATATGTCTCGGCCTCCAAGTGCTCCACAGAGAGCTCAGCCACAGAGGTCAGGGAGAGGTTTCCCTGCCGGCAGACCAGGGGAACCCCGCGCGCCCCGCCGGCGGCAAAGACAAAAGAGAGAGCCGGAGAGAGCGCGGCGAGGTCTCACGGTGCACACGTCACCCCGCTCGCCGGTGGTCAGAGGAGCACGTGCTCTCATGGGCGGCATCATGGAGAGGCGTGTGATAGCTGTGAGACAGAGCTGCAGGTGATCGCGAGCAGGTGACACATACATCGTGCGTATACGCGGCGTGCGTGTGTGCAGCGCACCTCTAGTTGTGGTCTCACCCCGACAGAACGGAGACGGTGCTCAAGCGCGCTCGTCTTTCAGCTTGCGGTGGTGCTCCTCGAAGCCCGAAGCCTTTTTGGGGTTGCCGCGCGAGCCTGCCTGGCCGCAGCCCCCCCCCTCCCTCTGAAAGTGCGTGCTGAGAGTGACAAGGGTCGAGAGCTCGCTCGAGAGGCGGCCGGGGCTGCTCGACGAGCCGCCGGCCAGCAGCATCTGCTGCAATGTCGCCACGAAGGGCGGCGGCGGCGGCGGCGGCGCGGGCGCGGGCGCGGGCGCGGGCGCGGGTGCGGGTAGTACGGGTGCGGCTGGCGGCGCTGGCGTGTCTTCGGCTGTCAAGAGCCCAGCCGCCTGCGGCGCGAGAGGCGTCTGTGCTTGGGGGGAAAGCCTGCAGCGGGCGGGACTGGGTCGAAACTCACCTCTAATCTGCGGCGCAGCCCGGCGTTCTCAGATCTGAGCTTCTCCACCTCCAAGTGAAGTAGTTCGAGCTGCTCCTTCTTTCTGTCCCGTGAGGCGGCGGCGGCCTTCCGGTTGCGGGCCTTCCTCTGGGCCTTGCGTGCGTCCACGTCGTCTGAAGAGGACGACCCGACGACGAACGCGAGTGAGCCCAGTTGCCACGACGGGCTTCCGTCGGGTAGCAACATACGGGTGGACGGTTTATCTGACAATAGCTGGCAAACGAGACGCTGCTCCGTGCGGGCAAAAATAAGGAAGAGATTTTTTTCTCCGTCACCGCGACTCCACTATGAGAGTGGGCGTTCCCTGCCTCAGGCTACTGCATATACACCTGAGCTAGGGCCTGAGAGGCCTCGCTGGAGCCGAGCGAGGCATAGCGGCGTAATTTCGACCTACATACACCCTGCTCGCTGCTCCCCCGTCTTGTCCCGCGCCAGTCCTAGTGCCAGGTCATCCACCACCCTCCCGGAAAGTGGCCGCCCTCCCCTCCAGAGCGCCGCCGCCGCCACCGCCACGCTGACCGCCACTGGACTGTCCGCCGGCGGCGAGGCTCCGAGGCATACGCTCTGTCCTCTGAGGCCGTAGAATACAAGTGACGGCTGCATCTATCTCTTTGCGCGCGGGTCAAAAATGCTGGGTCAAGTGTACCCCTGCCTCCCCTTGAAGCTTGATCGTCCTAGGCGGGCTTCTCTCGACTCCACAGGACCCTCTGACTTTGTGACTTAACAGTCTGCCACAGGGCGCACAGGAGTCGAAAGTGGAGTCGATCTTGGAGAGGGCAGAGGGGCAGTTTCGTCTTTCGAGTTTGCCCCGCGGGCCCGCGCGCGCCGCGGGCCCGCGTGTGCCCGTGTGCCGTGAACCGTGTGCCGCGGTGCGGTGTGAAGCTCCGTGTCGTGTTTTTTGCCGCCGCGCTCCGTGTGGAGCTCCGTGTCGTGAAGCTCCGTGTCGTGTCGAGCGGGAATAAATAAATAAATAAAACCGACACCTCTACTAGGAGATGGGTAAAAAGGAACAGGTCCCCGCCCTTGCGATCTTTGTGCAGGGTTCTTTGTGGGTGTCGGCGACTAGCCGGGGTCGTCCTCCCGATCGATGGGGGACTAGCACTAGCCGTCTTCCACATGGTCCCTCGGGTCCCTGACTGAGCTGCTCCTAATCTCGTCGTACATCCTCCTGCTGATCTCCGTAACGTCCTGCTCCCTCCCTCGTCTCGCCCTGCGCAACTGCTCCGCCTCACCGTCGTCTGCCCTGCGTCGTCTGGTGACGGGTCCTCCATAGTCGGTTGAGGTCGCCGCCCTCCTCGTGCCTCTTCCCAACGTTCCCTCGGCGGTCGGTGCCGTCCGCTCCGGCTCCCCAGTCCCCGGGTCTGCCCTGCTCTCTTCTGCGCTAGTTTCTGTTTCGTCATCACTGGCATCCCTCCTCTTCTTTCTCCCCTTCTGGTATGCTTTGTACATCGCGTCGATTCCTTTTCGCGTGAGCACCATCCTGAAGCCCGCCCAGCAGCTGAACCGCTCCCTAAGTCGAAGGAGCATCGTCAGTCTCACCCACTTTGCTCGCTGCCCACCGTCTCCGCTCCCTCCCGCTTGAGCCGCCGTCGCGGCCCTCGTTCGTCCCACTGGCTGTTGGCCCGTCCCTGCGTTGCCTGCGTTATCCCTCCTCCTCCGCGACTCCCTTCAGAAGGGCCTTCAAGTGATCCGCAAGTCGTGTGTGTGTAGAGCCGTACGCCGGGGCGCCATTTAAGGTAGAGCCAAAGAGCGGAGACTCTCAAAGATAGGGTGCCCACAGGACCCAAAAGAAAATAGCTTTCCGGCTCAAAAAGGGACGCACGCGAGGCAAATCTGATGTTGGAGTGTTCCAATAGGAGCGAGGCCTCTTCCGTTGGGGGACCGAGTTCATAGGAAACGAGGGTTTCCCATTGTGTCCCGCTCCAGCGCGAGCGTGACACTGCACTTGGCGCCGAGCGCCCGCGGCTCAGACCTTGTGCAGGCCACCCCTCGGTGACCACGCCGGTCCGGACCGATGGCGCTCGGTGTGGAGCAAGCAAGCCCCCCCCCCCCCCCCTCGGCGCGCGCTCGCCATTCCAACGGCCGCCAGGAGCACCAAGAGGACTCCTTATGGCTGTGGTCAAGTGGGCTTCGACCGGCCTCGGCTGGGGGGGCGGGTTGTCCCGGCTGCGGACGCCTTCTGCAGCCCCCTGGGCCCGTGACAGCACCCCAAAACTGCGCCCTCGGCGGCATACAGCACTGCCAGCCAGCCTCTTCCTCCTCCTCAAGGGCTGTACTATAGCCATATTGCGCCGCCTCCTACTGGCAGCCGGGCGGGCGCGCGCCGCGGGCGCCTCGGCGCGCGCACGGCTCGCAAAGTTCGAACGAGTACTGCCGCCCGGCCGCCTCAAGGCTGCCGGGCGGCAGTACTCGCCTCGCAAGGCGCGCACCGGCTGATCTGGCTGCTGCGCCGGCGGCCGCTGCGCTGGCCGCTGCTGCGCCGGCTGGCGGGCGGTACGGCCGCCGGCGGCCGCTGCACCCGCGCCTTCCCTCGCGGGCGCCGTCGCGCCGCGCGCGCCCAACTCTGCTGGCACACGGCACGCGTCGTCACACAGCCGCGCGGAGAACAGAGGCGGTGCTGTGCGTGAAGCGCGCGCGATCTCGTACTTTTAAGGCTGGATCCGGCCATTCCAAGGGTATACCTTTGAGAATCCCCAGCGTCCCACCCTCCTAGTCACACTCTCAATATCTCGACTCTCCAGAACACGAAGTGCTGCGATCGGGAGTGCCCCATTTCTTTTTTCCTTTCTTTTTTTGGGCCCTGTGGGCACCCTATCAAAGAGGGGGGTGGGTGGGGTGGGAAGGTGGTGGGCTTTGCTGAGGTAGTAGACTCTAGAAACGTAGACAAGAGACAGGTAGGAAAACGGTGTCCGCCACCCTGCAGTGCAGGCAGGGCCGGACGCAACAAAATCGCTCTCGCAAAATCGCACTCTTGCCAGGGCGGTGCTGCCGCTTCCCGAGCGGCTCTGGGAAGCGGCGCACTCTTGTAAGCCCGGCGGTGCGCAGCGGAGCGTGCCGGCAAAAGGATCGGGGGGCGGGGGGGAGGGGGACACGTCAAGATGGAAGCGCCCGCACTATTGACGCGGCAGCGAGAAGGGAGCCGGAGAGGATGAAGCCGGACCTGGGCCGCCGCTCGGCGACGGCGGCGGCGCGGGCACCGCCGCCACGTGCGTGTGCGGCCGTGGCCCGAAATCCAGCGTCGATCCCGCCTCGACGCCGTACTGGACGAGCGGTTTTCCCGCCTCGAGCGTTGTGTCCTTGTACAAAATGGCGAGCGTCTCGGGCTTGACAGCAAGCTGGCGCGCGGCCTGGCGGCGTACCTGCAGCGGAAAGGGCGTGGGAGAGCCGTGTCGTGTCGCGTGTGGTGGGCAGGTGCGAAGATGAGGCTTTCATAGTTGCGGGGTGGTCTTGCACCTCATCCGCGTCCGCGAGGTGCAGATCGAGGAGCACTCTGACCATCGAGACGCCCGCGCGGCCTGGCGCGCGACCCATCACGAAGATCTCCGTGCTCATCTCGAGGCCCAGGCGCCTAGCGGGCGCGCGAGCGACGTGCGCCCGCGCCTTCCCCGCGCCTTCCGCGCCTTCCGCCTTCCGCCGTCGTTTGTTTTGGCGATGCAAGGGATAAGGGATACTGATGCGTTTGTCGGCGTTTTTCTTCTTAAGCTTGAATTCTTTTGCTTTTTTTGGTGATTTCCCCCTTCCATCCCACCAGTGAATGTCTTTTATTCGCATCACTTCCAGTGGGCAGACCGGCCATGGCTGCTGCCGCCCGCAAAGCCGGAGAGACTTGTCTCCTGGGTGCGCGTGCTGCACGCCGTGTGCAGACGTCGGCAGGAGCCGCCGCGGCGGGACATGGCAGCGCCGCCGCCGCCGCCGCCGCCGCCGCCGCCGCCGCCGCCGCTGTGCGCCTCGAGCGCCTCGTCCGACAGACCGACGGGCGGCGGGGCGGAGAGGATGTGAGGGCAGCGGACGCAGACGCCGTGGAAGCCGCCAGAGAGCACGTACCTGTCGCGCGGGGCCGCAGAAGTGAGCGCCTCTGGCCGAGCAGCCCCCCTCCCTCTCCGTCGGGAAGGGGTTGGAGGCGCGCACGTGTTTTCTATCCCCCGCTGCACAAAGGCGTTGGCCGCCTCGTCGAGACCCTTGCCGTCGGCATCGTAGAGGACGATGAGCTTGTCGCCGCCCGCCGGGCCGCGGAAGAAGTAGAGCTCCTTTGGGAAGTGGTTTGTCGAGTGCGATAGCTGCGCCAGGTCGTAGTGCCTCGCCCCGCGCACGTGCGAGTCCGAGTACTGCTCAAAGGAGCGGCAGTCGAGGCAGAGAACGCTCGCGCCGGCGGCCGCCGCGGCGATGGACGCCGATGTCGACGCGTCGGCCGCGTGCGAGACGATGGAGGCGGCGACCGACGCGCCCCCGAGCGACATGGCGGCCGACGCCTCGTCGAGGTCGTAAGCGTAGATCGACTCCTCGCACTCGATGTCGGGCGCGAGCCGCCGCTCCAGATCGAGCGGCTTGATGCGCCGGAAGTAGGTGTGCGTCTGCTTTGCCCGTGCATTGGGGCCGCTCGTCCCCTCGTACTTCTCCATCAGCTTGCGCATGTTGCTGCCCGTGTCCACACGGGGCTTGAGGTGGGCGAAGCGAGGGTCGGGCGCCCGGCTGCGGCGGCTGACGGTCGAGCCGGTCGTGCTCATCGCGCGGCCAACGGGCGAGCCCACCCCGGCAGGCATCGCGTGCGGGTGCCGCGCGCGTATATGCGCGCACAGCGTACGGACCAAAAGGGCGATAACGGCCGTTGCGATGAAGCGTTCACGACAGCGTCCCCGGGGGGTTTACGCTTGTCGGTGTGAGACAAGTCAAGTCCTGTGTACCTGGGTAGCGAACTCCTGTGCCGCGTGCCCGTGTGCTTCTGACGAATGAATATGGTTCGTTTTTCTGGGGTGAGTGACTGAGAGTGTGAGACGTGTTGCGATGGTATGAGGGGGGGGGGGGGGAGGCTGCCGGGCTGCGGTCAAGTACCAGGCCGACCAGCCCTTTGAAAATTCGTCTTCTCCTCTCGCCTGCGGAAACGACCAGGGACCCCTAGATGTCAAAGCGAAGGCCCCCGCACGGGGGGTCCCGGCCGACGTCATGCGCGTAAACAGCTTACCGGAGACATGCCCGAGCTCAAAACTGCTTACCAAAGGCAGATATGAGCTCAGCTCAGTGAGATCTAGCAGCACATACCCTTGGTACCAGAATAGTAGTCTGAAAAAGTCGGTCCGACCTCGCGGAGCTGTCTGGCTGTCATGCTGGCTGTCTGCAGAGCCCCCGCGGCGCGCGGGCACGCCTGGTCCTCTCGCGGCGGCGAGGAGGGAGCGAGCGCCGAGAGCAGCGTCAATCCTGTGTGTGAGGGGGAGGGAAGTCACTTATGCTCGTAGGCCAGGGAGGTGTAGATGGCCGGGGTCAACCACCTGCACTCGGATGAGCCGCAGCCTAATCTCCGCCGTCGCCGCAGCAGGCAGCAGCTTGCCAAAGGAGCCGCCAGCGTGGAGTATAGGTGCCAAAGCTCTGCTCCATGGTGTTCGCCGCCGATACGCGAGCCCCACTTTTGTTGCTGCGCACTCTCATCTATTGTCGCCACGATCCTCCTCTCCGGGACAGCGCGCCGTCCCGACCAATGGCTGGAAAGCTGTCGATGAGCTCGAGCTGATTATGCGTCGCTGTCGCTGGCGTGCAACACTGGACCACAGCAAAAAGAGCGAGGTCACCCTTGGCAAACGCAAAGCCGACGCATAATCACCCTGAGCGCGTGCGAACTGCGGCGTGATGGAGTGCACGGACCCCGACGAGAGCAAACGCTCAGCGGCGCTGAAGGCGCGCATGGAGGAGCGTGGAGATGGTGTCGACGACTCGCCGGCCGATACAGACGACGACGTCTCGACTGCTATCAACCAGTACCTCTCAACATGCGACCGGAGCAGGAGGGGCAGCGCCGAGCCGTGGACGGAGCAAGAGGACCGGCAGCTGCTCCACGCCTCAGCACGTGTATGTTGAGTCGTACGCGGTCCTGCGGTTTGGTCGCGGGAGATAGATTGCCCGCAGTGCCACGGGCCTCCTCAGCCGAGGAAGACATATTTGTAGAGAGTATTCAAAGTACGAAGGTGTGGTGTCACACCGGTGGGGGGAAAGGCGACAGCTGCGCCGAGTTGTGGTGTCACAACAGTAGAGAGGTCGACTGTCTCGCGGCGCGGCGGCCCCACGAGAAGCAGTCGGGAGACTATTACGTGCCAAACTTGGGCGCCTATTCGGCGCCCGACGGAGGTGCCTATTAGGGATCTAGGTGGCGAGACGTGCCACTGCACAGGGTGTGGGAATATAGGGATATAGGTAGACTATTCATCACTGTGGGGGGGAGAGAGAGTGATAATAGGGGTGTTGAGGTGGGGCTGGTGGAGGTGATTCCCCGGGTCAGTCTGGAGGTCATTCTCCACCACCTCCTGCGACAGCGTTGCCCTTATTGCACGTGAAACAGACCGCGCCGGCCACGCACCCTTGTTCCCGGAGGCCAACTCGAACAGGTTTGAGCAAAAGGCCGCCTTCCATGCTCGATATGCAGCAGGAGCTTAGTTGACCCTGCTCGAAGGCCGCCCTGCTCGAAGGCCGCCCTGCTCTCGGTATTGTGTTGTTGACTGATAGCACTGTCTGATCCAACCAGAAAGAGCCGTCGAGCTACATGAGACCCAAGTCGTCGTGATGTACCAGGAAACGAAACTAGCGCCAAAATTGAGATCTCAGGATTGACATCAATTTCTCGCGCCTACTTTCGCTGCTTGAGACTCGCCAAACAGATCCTGCGTCTATGGCCGTGTGCGACGTCAAGTCGTTAACCGCGACAAGACCATCGCGCCAACCGCGACTCTGTTGCTTTTATGCGGCAGCATTCACCGTGACTCTTGCCGTGGATAGTTAGTGACCGCGGTTGCTTACAACTGTACGCAATACTACGCCATAAGCTGAGCTTCACCAGCCGTTTCTCTTCTCCTTCCCTTGCTGATTCCCTTGCCTTCTCTTGCCGTCCGTTCTCTGTGCGCATTCCACTGCATGCGGCATCACAAGCGTCTTCTGCCGGGCGCGCATCTGAACTCGTACCTGGTAGGCCATCGCTTTGCTGAAAGATCAGGCGCCTGAATGGCGACAGTGAGCGTCTCCTACTTATGGATTGCGCTCGAGGTACAAGGAGCGCAAGAGCGCGCCGCAGGCGATTTTTTGGCGGCAGGGCTGTTCCAATTCATCTTGTTGTAAGTATATTGTTGAAATTGTGATACCTCGATCCTTTATTTACCGTGTTTGTTATGACCCCCCCAATGAACACACCAGTGAGGGAGGGCGAGACGATCGAGGGGTCCCGTACCATGCGGAACCGACCCTATCCATGCTCAAGTGCTCAAATTGTGACACACACACACTCACTCAAATTGTGATCTCGCGCGAGGCGCCGGAGGCCCCCCCACCCCAAACTAAGGGGTTGACGTACCTCAACCCCCAGGGGTGTAGTACGCGAGCTCTCTCAAGCATTCTCTCCGCTGCCGCCCGGCCATGGCTTTGCTCGGCGTGCGTGGCCTGCTTGCGGCTCACGCGATCGTAGCCGACGTGCTGCTCCTCTATGGTGGGCTGGACCGTCTCAGCCTGCCTCAGTGGCTTGAGGTGTGCCGCCCCTCCGCCGAGGCCGGCTGGCTCTTCCTCTCCTTCTGCTGCATCACGCTCGGCTACGAGGAGCTGCTCACCGTGTCGGCTGGCTGGCTTGGGCCGGCCGTTATCACCACCTCTCCGCCGGTCGACACTGCCTTCGCGCCGATGGACGCCGTCAGTGTCGCTTCCGCGTCCTCATTCGCCTCGCTCGCGACTATCAACTTCATCGCCTGCCTCCTCTCTACCTCGGCGGATCGCCGGCGGCTGTCGGCGCTCGGCATGGCTATCGCGGCGATGGCATGCGTCGCGTACTGGTCCCTCGCGGACGGCGTCGGGGTCCTCTCGACGTATGGGAGGCCGTTCTCGCCACTGCGATACGTACTGTGGGCGCACACGACACCCGGCCTCGCCCTCATCTCGGGCAGCAGCCACTCCGCCTCCGAGGCGGGGCGGCGACTGCACCGCAATATCGTCAGCATCATGATGACCGGCTTTCTCGCCACGGCGGCGGTGCCGGAGCCCGTCGCGAGGCTCGGAGTCGCCGCGCTGTGGGCTTGGCGCATCGGCTGGCTTGGCGCGAGCTTTGCTTACATGTTCCTCTCTCTGCGGCGCGTGTGTGCAAACATCTTGAGCCAGGCGACGCACCCGCTCACGGGCCAACTCATCAGCACGCTGACGGCCCTCTCGTGGAGCTTCTTCCCCGCCCTCTGGCTCGCCTCCCAGACGGACCTGCTCTCGCAGCCGGCAGAGCTCACGCTCCTCGCGCTCGCGGACTTTTGCGCAAAGATGCTCTCCTCCGTCTCGCTGCTGCTGCACGCCGCCGAGAGCCACAGCCAGCTGGAGCGACTGCAGCTCTCGCAGCGCCTCGAGCGGGAGCAGATCCGCGCCGACGCGCTGCGCACCTTCGCGCGCACGATGGGCCACGACCTGCGCACGCCGCTGCAGGCCCCCCCCCCCCCCCCCCCCTCAACACCCACTCCACCCCCCAACCGACCCCCCCTCGCGCCTCCGCCGCGCAGGTCGTCTCCAACATGTGGGAGCTCGACCAGGCGGGCGGACACTTCCCAGACACTTCCCAGACACTTCCCAGACACTTTCCAGACACTTCCCAGACACTTTCCAGACACTTTCCAGACACTTTCCAGACACTTTCCAGACACTTTCCAGACATGTGGGCGCTCGGCCAGGCGGGCGAGGGCAAGCAGCAGGCGGGCGGAGGCAACGAGGCGCTGCTGATGCCCTCCTTCGCCGAGGAGGAGGTGGACCTGGTCTCAGAGATCGAGCGTACCGTCGGGCTGCTGCTCGCCTCGCCGACCGCAAAGGCGGAGGTCAAGCTCAAGTCGTGCTTCGACCCCCGCCTGCCGCATGTGCGCCTCGCAACTTTCTAGACACTTCCTAGACACTTCCTAGACACTTCCTATTCGACCCCCGCCTGCCGCATGTGTGCGCCTCGCAACGTCCATCACACCATCCCTCCATCACACCATCCCCCCTCCATCACACCACCTCGCGGCGGTCGCTGGGAGCCTTCCGTGAGCCTTCCAGGGCCCGTCTGGTAGGTGCGAGTCGACGCCTCGCGGCTGATGCGCGCCCTGCTCAACCTCCTCACAAACGCGATCAAGTTCACCACCTCGGGCGCGGGCGGCGTCCTGGGCGGGGGCTTGTGTGGAGAAGCGCCCCTCACACACGCCCCCGCCTGCGAGCAGGCTCGGTCACGATATCGGTCAAGCTGCTCAGCGAGCCACCTCCCGTCGGAGGGCTGTGCGAGGCGCACTTCGAGGTCGCAGACACCGGCCGGGGCGCGCAAGCTCGGCTCCAACCGGCCGGCGCAGCGGCGCCCTCCCGAGCCAACCCCCGCCGCCCGTCTGCGCCGCCCGCAGGGATGGAGGCCGAGGAGCTGCAGCGGGCAACGCACCCGTACTCGCGCTCCTCGACGGCGGAGGGCGGCGGGATGGGGCTCGGGCTCGCCATCGCCGCGAAGGCGGTCGCCCGGCGCGGCGAGCGGGCGGCGCGGGGACGGCGCGTCCTGACGGCTGCAGCTGTGAGCAGGCGGTGGCCG